CTGCACCTTTCCCATCCTTTCTTGTTGCCTGTTGCCTTCTCCTGCATCTCTTTTGACCTTGTCTCCTCTCCTTCTGCCTCTTCTTCTACGTCCTTCTCCTTCCCTGATTCCTTCCCTGTAAGAACTGCCCATTCTTCCTTTGCCCTCTAGTCATTACATCCCTTTCCCTATTTCCTCCTGCTTTGCTCTATTTTGAGCACTGATCCATTTGTGCCTTCTTCTTTTTCATCCTTCCACATTTTCCAGTGTACCTCTCATCTCCCATTAAAAAATTTTAAACTGTGTTTCCATTTCAAGGCAGAAAAACCTTCATCACATTTTTTTCCTCTTCGGAATTTTTCCTTTCTTTTCTTTCTTTCCTTCCTTCCTTCCTTCCTTCCTTCCTTCCTTCCTTCCTTCCTTCCTTCCTTCCTTCCTTCTTTCCTTCCTTCCTTCCTCTCTCCTTCTTTGTTTCTTTTGTTTTTCATTCTTTCTTTGAATTTTTCTTCCTTCTTTTCATTCCTTTTTTCTTTATTACCCTTCTAGCCAAAGTTAGTTCTCTATTCTATTTTGTTTTGTTGATTATCATTAATATTATAATCATCATCATCATCATCATTTTTATTACTTTTATTTGCTTTTACAGATAGGCCTGTCCGTGTACTCCTGGATTTCATGGATGTCCTTGTGCAGACTAGGGTGTTCTCAAACGGACAGAGTTCCTTCTATTTCTGCTTCAGGAGGCCTCAGTTTCAAGTTCACTGATGGCATCCTGGCTAGATTTCCATTTTAAAAAGTCACTCCCATTTTTCCTATCACAGTTCTTTTTCTTTATTTCCCACCCTATGTCTTACTTTCCCACCTCTTTCTCCCTTTCTACTGCCTTTCTTCCATTTGTGCCTCTTCTCTGTCTGACCCCTTTCCCTTCACTTTTCATCCCTCCCCCATACTTCCCACATTCCCTCACTTCCTTCTTTCTCTTTTTTTATTGATTTAATTGAGCTCTACATTTTTCTTTGCCACCCCTCCCTCCCTGCCTCTGCCTTCTGCTTCAACCTTCTGTCATGGTCCCCATGCTCCCAGTTTACTCAGGAGAGTTTGTCTTTTTCTACTTCTCATTTAGATTAGATCCATGTATATCTGTCTCTCTTAGCATCCTCATTGTTGTCTAGTTTCTCTGGAACTGTGATTTGTAGGCTGATTCTCTTTGATTTATGTTTAAAAGCCACTTATGAGTGAGTATATATGATAATTGTCTTTCTGGGTCTGGGTTACCTCTTTCCATATGATGTTTTCTAGCTCCACCCATTTGCCTGAAAATTTCAAAATATCATTTTTTTCTGCTGTGTATTACTCCATTGTGTAAATGTACCACATTTTCCTTATTCATTCTTCAGTCAAGGGGCATTTAGGTTGTGTCCAGGTTCTGGCTATGACAAACAATGCTGCTATGAACATAGTTGAGAACATGTTCTTGTGGCAGATTGAGCATCCTTTGGATATATACCCATAAGTGGCATTGCTGGGTCTTGAGGAAGCTTGATTTTTAATTTTCTGAGACATTGTCATACTGAAATCCAAAGGGGCTTTACCAGCTTTCATTCCCACCAGCAATGCAGAAGTGTTTGCTTTACCCCACCACCTTTCCAGCATAAGTTTTCATCAGTTTTTTGGTCTTTGCCATTCTTACAGGTGTCAGATGGAATCTCAGAGTTGTTTTGATTTGCCTTACTCTGATGGCTAAGGATGTTGAACATTTCCTTAAGTATCTTTCAGCCATTTTAGACTCCTCTGTTGAGAGTTCTCTGTTAAGGTTTATACCCCCTTTATTCTTGGATTATTTCTGTTTTGATACTCAATTTCTTTTTTTCTTTCTATATTTTTGAGATCAGACTTCTGTCTGATGTGGAGTTGGTGAAGATCTTTTCCCATTCTGTAGGCTGCCATTTTGTCTTGTTGACCGTGTTATTTGCTTTACAGACGCTTTCAGTTTTGAGAGGTCTCATTTATTAATTGTTTCTCTCAGTGTCTTTGCTACTGGGGTTATATTTAGGAAGTGATTTCCTGTGCCAATGCATTCAAGTGTGCTTCCCACTTTCTTTTTCATAAGTTTCAGTGTTTTTGGTTTTATGTTGAGGACTTTGATCCATTTGGACTTTAGTTTTGTGTGTGATGATCATTATGGATCTATTTTCATTCTTCTACATGTTGATATCCAGTTATGTCAGCACCATTTGTTAAATATTTTTTTCTTTATCAACAATTATGTGTTCCTTGGTGCATGTAGTAATATTTGAGTCTTTGATTTGATTTCATTGGTCCTCCTATCTGTTTTTAGGCCAACACCAGGCAGTTTTTAGTACTGTACCTCTGTAGTAGAGTTTGAAATCAGGGATTGTGATGCCTCCAGAAGTTCTTTTTTTGCACAGGATTGTTTTGGCTATCCTCAGTTTTTTGCTTTTCCATATGAAGTTAAATACCATTCTTTTGAGGTCTGTGAAGACCTTTGCTAGGATTCTGGTAGGCATTGCATTGAATCTGTAGATTTCTTTTGGTAAGATTGCCATTTTTACTATGTTAATTCTATCTACCCTAGAGCATTGGAGATCTTTACATTTTCTGGTGTCTTCTTTAATTTCTTTTTTCAAAGATTTGAAGTTCTTGTCGTACAAGTCTTCCACTTTTTTGGTTAGAGTTACTCCTAGATATTGTATGCTTTTTGTGGCTATTGTGAAGGGTGATGTTTCTCTCATTTCTTTTTCAGTCCATTTATCACCTGTGTATAGGTGGGCTACTGATTTTTTGAGTTAATCTTTTATCCTGCTACATTACTAAAAGTGTTTATGAGTTGTAGAAGTTCCTTGGTAGAATTTTGTGTTCGCTTATGTACACTATCCTATCATCAGCAAATAGAGAGAGTATGACTTCTTTCAGATTTGTGTCCCCTTGATCTTCTTCTGTTTCCTTAATGTTTTGATTTTCTCTCCATTTAGTTTCATGTAGTCTGTTGGCTTGCTGTATATTGCCTTTATTATAATTAGATATGTTCCTTTTATCCCTACCAGTCCTGCTGCAGAGTGGGAAACACTGGGTGAAGATGTATAGTCAGGATATCAGGCTCTGTGCACAAGATACAGCGCTGGGAGTGTTATAGGTATTCCATCACCTTTGTGATAAACTGGACAGATGTCTGAATCAAGTCCTGTTGGTTATTCAAAGATAAGAATTGTACAGGTTAGCAGATCCGTCATGTGGTCTATCCACATCTACTATGTGGAGAGCTCATCAGATCAGGATCATTTATCCTTATTTTCCTGCCATCAGTTGTCCCCACCGATTGCATCTACCCCATGTTTTCATTTCTTTGACGTCACACTCTTTCTGAGTTGTTCTTCTATTCTCTTGGCATTTGTTCTGTCTGTGTTTTGTGAATTTGAATGGGAGTTCGCTCATTTGTTTTAGTCGTTTCCCATTTCCTAAGCCCGTTTGGCCATGCAAGTGATGTTGTAAAGAATTAAGATTGTGATACCTGCTCACCTGCCTCTATTTTGATGCCTTGCCTTGCATACATCTTTACTTTTTCCTCTATAACCACCCCAGTTGCTGCTTCTGTTTTTCTGTCTTCTGTGCTTCTGCCTATGAGTTCTTGGCAGGTGAGTGGTGTTTGTCAGGGTTTTTGTATGCTTTTCTCTTGAAACTTGTCTTTCTTCTCCTGGTCTTATAATTGACTGGGTTTGTAAATAAATAAACCATGGAATCAGGAGTTTCCCTCTTGAAAATACAGGCCCATATTCTCGTTATTATAGTGAAAGAACTCATATTTCCATGAAAGCCCAGAGTTTAAGGATTAAAGGAGACCATGCAAACACGGGGGATTTTGCAAAAGTGTGAAAAATTTCAGGAGATCATAGGAATAAATAGTTCAGCTGATTGAACATCGAATAAAGAGTGCCACTAGAGTTACCTGTGTGAACTGACAACTATGTCCCTTCATTTGTCCTTGAGAGCAGGTCTCTTTAGTTTTCCCAATGTAGGTCACACATTTCTTGACTAAAAGCTGTCTTCCTCCTCCAGTATTTCAGATCCTGGGCTACAGAATCTTTTGACATTTCCACAAGTAAGGTTTCCTTTCAATTTATAAAGATTGAGTAAAGAGAGCGACATTTGTGTTTCAAAGTCTCAGGTTGTATGTTCAGATCCATTTTATTTCAGACCTGTGTCAAACTCTACACGAAAGAAGCTGTTTTGTGAGTGTGGTTAATTAAAGCTGCTATTCTATGTCTTTTCTTTTCTTTTCTTTTCTTTTCTTTTCTTTTCAAAACTATATGTATGTATGTATGTATGTGTATGCATCTATGAGTTTATGTATGTATATGTGTGTATGTATACATACATCACGTGATTTGATTTTTTTATTTGGAGTTGAGAGATAGCCAACTTTTTTTCCTTCTGAACCTTGTCTCTTCTAACTTTCCCCTTGAATTCCAGCATTTCAGACCCAAAACATCTTAGAATATTTCTAATGTACTTCTTTCTTTTATCCTTTTTAAGACCCTGGTGTTGAACTTTACTTGCCTGCTGTTTTGTCTTTGACACAGATGTATGAAAAATGAATTTAATTCCTGGTCTAAAGCCAGGCACACTCTTGACAAGGGCAGAAGTAGCCCAGATTCAGGCCTTAACATGGCGGTGACTTAGATCCTGTGAACCCAGGTCTTCTCATCGTGAGAGGCAATGCTCATCATTCCTATAACCTCTGTGCACTCAGCTTGGGCCTCAGTTGCAAAACTCTGTGTTACCTTTGTGCATTTTTAGTGGATCGACTTACTGCTAACTATACCATCTTGTAATAGAATTTTTGCTGACACTGTCCCATTTTTCTATACAGGAAAACTGTATAGAGGCTGTAGAATTTGCTAATAAACCTACTTGTACCAGCAGTCAGCTTGTGTAAGCATGCCTGATCCCAAACTTTACTATCTTCTCTAACTTCTCATCCCCTGGTCATCTCTCTTGCACAGGAACCTGTCAGCAGAATACAATTTGCCATTGTAGGACATCTGATTCCTCTTTATGGACCCCACACTACAGGAGGAGGAGGAGCATATGCAAGTGCAGGAGGAGTAAGTATGGTGATAACATAGAGAAAAGTAAGAGAAACCAGGCTGAGGGACTGCCTGAAGGAAGAGGCAGAAGGGTTGGGAGTACAATAGCATAGGACAGCGGGATTCTATAGAGCTCTTTCTCTTCCCTCAGGTGCTTCTGTTGCTTTTGTATTCTAGTTTGTGACATGTATTGCTAAAGCCCTTAGAAAGAGCCCTACTTTCAGTCAACAAGTCTGCCTTTGGTTACCTGAAAATGTTTCAATAATTTTAAAGACATGAGAATGTGTGGTTGAGAGTTTCAAGACAAAATCTTTCCTAACAGGGTCAAATTTGTTTCATATTGATGGTCTTGAGCTGTCTATGTAGACACAAGATTTCATAGACCTATAGTATGCATATAATTTACCTGTAATCTGATACCCTCATAAATGCGGTCAGTCTAGTCCAACACAAACAAGAATACACAGGCAAAAATTAAAATTCTAAACATGAGGGAGACAAGGGATTCAAGAATAGGAAGCAACTTAATATTTCAAATTATTTTTTCTTTGTGATGCTTCAGGACAAGAACAGTGAATCATTAAAATTAAAAAAATATATTTTGTATATATACTTATACATATATGTACATGTATTACAGCTACAAAATCATGTAAAATATCTCTTACCTGTATTGTATTTGCCTGGATTTGGACAAGAAAGTAAATTATTTCTCCATGGATTGGGCCTCAGGGAAAGCTCCAGACAGGCTTAGCTCTTAACAACCTCCAACCTAGTCCAGGGTATTCAGGACATTTCCATGAGCAAAATCCCAATTCTTACCTATCTTTTGGGTTTTACGTTGAAATATGTTATCATCAGTGGCCTAGGTCAGCTCTGTGACTGTTCTGTCACTGGGTCTGCTCTCCTCAGACTCTTAGACAGCTGGCTGGAGCACAGGCCCAAGTCACCTGCCCCAGGTCATAGCCATTCCTCTTTGGCGCCTTTAAAGAAATGAAGGAATACTGTTTCAGATACTAGCATTCTTACATGTTTAGATGATGTTAACCTGTCTGTACAGAATTATCCTTATTTGGTCTCCTGTCTGTAATTATTCACGTTTCAAAACAGGCTTAAAAAGATACCATCCCAAAAATGTGTGTCTATTGAGATTATGAAAACCCTTTTGAGATTATTTGTGACAACAAATCATAGAGTTTTGTTATTTTGTCTGTTCCTGCTTTGGGAATAGGCACGTGACTGTAGAAATTGTATGTGCCTGTTTGTGAGAGTGGTGTTTACAAGTGACTGTCTCTTGTATAACTTAGAGTTAAAACTTACTCTGAAGTAAGTTTCACTTTTTCCAAGGAGAGAACATGTAAAAGATTCAGTCGATCTGTATTCTCCTCTATTCTTAATGTTCTCAGGCCTTTTTTAGGTTTTCTGAAGCTCTCCCATATTTTGTCCCTTTCCCACGTTCCTGTCATATTACATTTCTAACTGTGGAACTGTTCAGCTCCTTTACCTTCTCCCAATCATTTATTCACCTTTTCTATTCCTCCTTCCCCTTCCAGCTTAGCCACTGCTTTTCTGTTTTCCACTTAACAATACCCATTTCTATGTTTTTTGTCTTGCTTATCTTTAGAAAACTTTTACCTTCTTCCTTCTGTTCTTTCATTTCTCTGTCCCACCTTAACCTCCATTGTAATTCCCTCTGCCCTCCTTTCCAAAACCATCATCACCAGTTTTCCCTTCACAGGTTCCTTTCCCTGCTCCCATTACCTTGCTTCTTCCTATTCATGCCCCACCTCTTCTCTTTCCCTTCCTCTTTCTCAGCACCAGTTCTCCAGTCCTTTTGTCTACCTTTCCCTTTTCTAAACTCTTTCTCCTTTCCAATGCTTTAAACTTTCTTTTCCTCCCCAGCCATTTCTACCTTTCCTAACCTATCTTGTGTTAGTGTCTTTTCCAGCACGTTGTCTTTTCTAATCCTTTATCCTGTATTCTGTTTAGTATGCTTTTCCCTGTTCCTATTGCTGTCTCTCTCCTCAACCCCTGTTCTCTAGGTTCCTCTTCCAATGTCTGAGTTCTCTGCTTTCCTAAGCTTCTTCCCCATCCTACAGTTTTCCTTCTTCTGTTTCATGTCTCCTTTCCAACCCCCTTCTCCCCTTCCAGTCCCTTTGCAGCTACTTTTCCTCTTTCCTTTTGTTTTCTTTTTTATTAATTAATTAATTAATTAACTAACTAAAAAATTCCACCTCCTCCCCACCTCCCATTTCCCTCCCACTCCCTCAGTCTCCCTCTCACTCCCTCTCCAGTCCTAAGAGCAGTCAGAGTCCTCACCCCTTCATCCAGGTCTAGGAAGGTGAGCATCCAAACATACCAGGCTCCCACAAAGCCAGTCCATGCAGTAGAATCAAAACCCAGTGCCATTGTCCTTGGTTTCTCAGTCAGCCCTCATTGACAGTCACATTCAGTGAGTCCGGTTTGATCACATGCTCCATCAGTCCCAGTCCATCTGGCCTTGGTGAACTCCCATTATATCAGTCCCACCATCTCAGTGGCTGGACCCACTCCTCGCGGTCCTGACTTCGTTGTTCATATTCGCCCTCCTTCTGCTCCTCATTTGGACCTTGGGACCTCTGTCCAGTGCTCCAATATGGGTCTCTGTTGCTATCTCCATCCATCGCCAGATGAAGGTTCTATGGTGATATGCAAGATATTCATCAGTGTGGCTATGGGACAAGGCCAGTTCAGGCACCCTCTTCTCTCCTGCCCAAGGAACAAGCTGGGGACATCTCCTTGGACCTGGGAACCCCTCTAGAGTCAAGTCTCTTGCCAACCCTAAAATGGCTCCCTTTATTAAGATATCTACTTCCCTGCTCCCATATCCACCCTTCCTCCATCTTAAACATCCCATCACCCCAAGCTCTCCCCAATCCTCCCCTTCTCCTTTCTCCCTCCACATCTCCCCTTACACCCACCCCACTCCCACCCCCGTGGACCCAACTTTTGCTTGGCAATCTTGTCTACTTCCAATATCCAGGAGGATAACTGTGTGATTTCCTTTGGGTTCACCTTCTTATTTAGTTTCTCTATGATCACAAATTATAGGCTCATTGTCCTTTATTTATGGCTAGAGTCCACTTATGAGTGAGTACATACCATATTCATCTTTTTGGGTCTGGGTTATCTCACTCAGTAAAGCGTTTTCTATTTCCATCCATTTGCATGCAAAATTCAAAATGTCATTATTTTTTACCGCTGAGTAAAACTCTAAAGTGTATATGTTCCACACTTTTATCCATTCTTCTACTGAGGGGCACCAAGGTTGTTTCCAGGTTCTGGCTATTACAAATAGTGCTGCTATGAACATAGTTGAACAAATACTTTTGTAGCATGATTGGGCATCTCTTGAGTATATTCCCAAGAGTGGAATTGCTGGGTCCTGAGGAAGGTTGACTGCCAGTTTCCTGAGAAACCGCCACACTGATTTCCAAAGTGGTTGCACAAGTTTGCATTCCTACCAACAATGGATGAGAGTTCCCCTTACTCCACATCCCCTCCACCATAGGCTATCATCGGTGTTTTTGATTTTAGCCATTCTGACAGGTGTAAGATGATATCTCAAAGTTATTTGATTTGCATTTCCATGATCGCTAATGCAGTTGAGCTTGACCTTAAGTGTCTTTTGGCTATCTGAATTTCTTCTGTTGAGAATTCTCTGTTCAGTTCAGTATCCCATTTTTTAATTGGGTTAATTAGAGTTTTAGTGTCTAGTTTCTTGAGTTCTTTATAATTTTGGAGATCAGACCTTTGTCTGATGTGGGGTTGGTGAAGATCTTCTCCCAATCAGTAGGTTGCCTTTTTGTCTTACTGACAGTGTCCTTTGCTTTACAGAAGCTTCTCAGTTTCAGGAGGTCCCATTTATTCATTGATTCTCTTATTGTCTGTGCTACTGGGGTTCTACATAGGAAGTGTTCTCCTGTGCCCATGTGTTGTAGACTACTTCCCACTTTCTCTTCTGTCAGGTTCAGTGTGGTCAGATTAATACTGAGGTCTTTAATCCATTTGGACTTGAGTTTTGTGCATGGTGATATATATGAATCTATTTTCATTCTTCTACAGGTTGAAATTCAGTTATGCCAGCACCAATTGTTAAAGATGCTTTCTTTCTTCCATTGTATAATTTTAGCTCTTTTGTTGAAAATCAGGTGCTCATAGGTTTGTTGATTAATTTCTGGGTCTTCGGTTCGATTCCGTTGGTCAACCTCTCTGTTTTTGTGCCAATACCAAGCAGTTTTCATTACTGTAGCTATGTAATAGAGCTCGAATCAGGGATGGTAATGCCTCCGGAAGTACTTTTATTGTATAGGATTGTTTTGGCTATCCTGGTTTTTTTGTTTTGCCATATAAACTTTATTATTGTTCTCTCAAAGTCTGTGAAGAATTTTGGGAATTTTATGGGGATTGCATTGAATCTATAGATTGCTTTTGGTAGAATTGCCATTTTTACTATGTTGATTCTCCCAATCTAAGAGCTTGGGAGATACTTCCATTTTCTGGTATCCTCTTCAATTTCTTTCTTCAAAGCCTTAAAGTTCTTGTCAAATAGATCTTTCACTTCCTTGGTTAGAGTTACCCCAAGGTACTTTATGCTATTTGTGGCTATCGTGAAAGGTGATGTTTCTCTGATTTCCCTCTCTGCTTCTTTGTCCTTTGTGTATAGGAGGGCAACCGATTTTTTGGAGTTGATCTTGTATCCTGTCACATTACCAAAGGTGTTTATCAGCTGTAGGAGTTCTTTGGTAGAGTTTTTGGGGTCGCTTATGTACACTATCATATCGTCTGCAAATAACGCGAGTTTAACTTCTTCCTTTCCAATTTGAATCCCCTTGATCTCCTTATGCTGTCTTATTGCTATTACTAGAACTTCAAGCACTATAGTGAAGAGGTATGGAGAGAGTGGACAGCCTTGTCGTGTTCCTGATTTTAATGGGATGGCTTTGAGTTTCTCTCCATTTAATTTAATGTTAGCTGTC